CGAGTGCACAAATTTTTGTGCACCGGGCCTCTAGTATATATATAAGACAGGACATAAATTTTATGGTTTAGAGCAGAAGTTGTAACTATTTTTTTTTTTTTTTTTTTGCCACCTCATTTGACCGGGCCTCTAGTATATATATAATTCTTGACATAAATTTTATGGTTTAGAGCAGAAGTTGTAACTATTTTTTTTTTTGTACCAGAGTCAGTTGTATAAAAGGAAAACTGAGCCCTAGCTTGTTTGGCTCAGAGGATAGAGTGTTGGTCAGCCTGCGGACTGAAGGGTCCCAGGTTCAATTCCAGTCAAGGGCACATGCCAGGGTTTCGGGCTCGATTCCTAGTAGGGGCATGCAGGAGGCAACCAGTCAATGATTCTCTCTCATCATTGATGTTTCTATCTCTCTCTCCCCTCTCCCTTCCTCTTTGAAATCAATAAAAATATATTTTTAAAAAACTGAGTAGACAAGCATACTCTTTTTAAATTTAATATATTTGAATTTAAGAACTGTGCATTTACAAATCATTTACATTAGATACTTAGAAAAATTCAATTTAGATACCTAGAAAAATGCAATTTTAGTTAAGATATTGTACATTGTCTTTTAATTGTACATATGTTGTAGGTTTGTGTAGTGCATGAAAAATAGTCTGGAATTAGTAATGAGCAAGTAAGACACATAGCAAACAGTGAATGAGTACACCTGTGCATTATTTTAAATGAATGATGAAACACTAAAATTATATATTTTTTCATTTGTAGTTATGCAGAAGTTAGGGCTGAAAGACGACGAGAACTTGGCATTGAAGAGTCTCTTCCTGAGATGGCTGCTGACAAAGTATGTATCTTGCAGGTTTTTTGTGTTTTGTTTTGTTTTAATTATTTCTTTGCAATGAAAGACAAGATTCACTAATTTATAGGAAAATTATTTTTCAAATATTTTATTTTCTCACTTGTGACAGGGCTATAAATTTTTACTTTAATATTTTAAAACATCATCTGCTTCTAAAAAAGATTTGAAGGGCCTGCTGTTTAGTGATAATTGGATGAGTGACATGTAAGATCTCACATTTAAACTACCATTTATTAATTGTCTATAATATGTTAGGGTCTGGGTAGGTTCTTTATATGAATTACAAAATATCTTTTACTCCTCAAACATCCTTACATGGTAGGCAATATCCCCACTTTCAAAATATTGAAACAAAGGCTTTAAGGGTGGGGGGAAACCTCCCCTAAAGACACATGGCTGGCTCCTGGCTGGTGTGGCTCAGTGATTGAGCATTGACCTATGAACCAGAAGGTCACAGTTAGATTCCTGGTCAGGGCACATGTTTGGGTTGTGTGCTTGATCCCCAGTAGGAGGTATGCAGAAGGCAGCCAATCAGTGATTCTCATCGTTGATGTTTCTATCCATCTCTCCCTCTTCCTTCCTTTCTGAAATCAATTAAAAAATATATTTTTTAAAAAGACACATGGCACCCGGCTAGCGTGGCTCAGTGGTTGAGCATCAACTTAATGAACCAGGAGGTCATGGTTTGATTCCCAGTCGGGGCACGTGCCCAGATTGTGGGCTCTATCCCAGTGGGGAGCGTGCAGGAGGCAGCCGATAGATGATTCTCTCTCATCATTGATGTTTCTATCTCTCTCTCCTCTCTCTTCCTCTCTGAAATCAATAAAAAATATATATTTTAAAAAATAAAAATATAAATAAAAAGACAGATGGCTGGGAAGTTATGGTCAGAATTTGAACTCTGGTTTCTCTTTTCATTATATCATGTAGAAGTGTAGTGTATTAGTTACCTATGGCTGTGTAACAAAACTTAATGATGTAAAATAATAGTTATTAACTCCTAGTTTCTGTGGTTAAGAGTCCAGGCAGAGTGTAGTTGGGGCCTCTGGTTCAGAATTGGTCAGGAGGCTACAGTCAAGGTGTCAGCCTGGGTCTCTTACAAGGTGTAATCAGGTGTGTGGAGGCCACAGTTATCCAACGTTCACCTGGGGCAGAACCTGCCCCAGGCTCGCTTTGATTGTTGGAAAGATCTGATTCCTCATGGGCATTTGGGCCGAATTCTTGATTCCTTGCTGACTGATGGCCAGAGGTCACCCTCAGTTCCATTCCAGGTGGTCCTTTCCATCAGAGCAAGTATGCAAGAAGATCCAGGGAGAGAAAACCAGCAAGATGAAAGTCAAAATCTTTGGTAACCTAATCACAGAAGTGATATCACGTCACTCTTGCTGTTCTGTACATGAGAAGCAAATCACCAGGTCCAGCCTACACTCAAGGGGAGGGATTATATAAGGGAGTGAATACCACAAGGTAGGAATCATCATGAGGCATGTCAGAAATTGCCTACCACAGGTATTTTCGACTTGCAGAAATAAGTGGAATGAGAAGAGGCAAGAATCTATATAAAAAGTGTGTTAAACAGGCAGTGTGCCAGGGACAGTATGGGTGATATTTTTCAGTCATTCAGTAAACCTTATTAAGTACCTTCCGTGTGCCAGGAAGTACCAGACATGGCTCAAATCAGTGGTTCTCAACCTTCCTAATGCCGCGACCCTTTAATACAGTTCCTCATGTTTTGGTGACCCCCAACCATAAAATTATTTTCGTTGCTACTTCATAACTGTAATTTTGCTACTGTTATGAATCGTAATGTAAATATCTGATATGCTATATGTGTTTTCCGATGGTCGCAACCCACAGGTTGAGAACCACTGCGTCTAGATGGTAAGAATGCAGCAGTGAATAACACAGACAAGTTCTCTGCTCTCATGGATCCCACATGAAAGAATGTTTTAAAGAAGCTTTGTATATGTAGAGGAAGAATATCCAGTATGTTCTAATAAAATAAATTTTCTGAGAAAAGTGCTTTAAATCTAGGGTTCCTGGAAATGAGGACCATTATAGAAACTAAAGTAATATAGATTGTTCCCCTTTGCTTCTTCATTTTCCCTCATGCCAGTGTCCAATCCTAGTAAATTCAACTAGCCCTACTTCCAAAACATACTCCATCCGCTTTCTCACCATGATTATTGCTACCACCATGTTCTACTGGGAGTTAGGTCCATTTGAGATATATTTTTGAGAAACTTCAGTGTAGGGTGGTTTTAAAGTCACAAGTCTAAATTTGATAACCAAAGGAATGGATGTAGAGAGAGATAACAACCAAATGCTAAACATTAATGTTTGGGCGTGAAATAGCCGTGAGGTAGGAGTAAACCAGAAAGCTAAGTTGTCCTAGGAGGTGTAGGGATTACACCTAACGTGGAGTAGAGGAAAACATTGTTGGAGATGAGGAGTTCCTAGAAAGCTGAGAGGCCAGGACAGACTTTTGGATGAATCATCCACATGGATATTGAAATTCTGTAGAAAAGTCAGTGTTGGAGTGAAGAGGAAGATTTTGAGCAATCAAATGCTGTATTTACAAAGATGCTTATAGTACCTTGTCTATAAAGTGCCATCTTTATTCTGATGTTTATTTTTTACACTTTCTTTATTGCTTTAATGTGATAAATACACATAACAAAATTTACCATTTTATCCAGTATTAAGTGTACAGTTCAGTGGCATTAAATACATTCACACTGGTGTGCAGTCATCACCACTAGCCACCAAACTTTTTCATCTTCCAAAGCTGAAACTCCATATCCATACTCATTAAACCATGACTCCCCATTCCCTCCTTCTCAAGCCTCTGGCCACCACCAATCTACTTTCTATTAATTTGACTCCCCTTAGGCACCACATACAGGTGGGATCATACAGTAATTGTCCTCATGTGACTGGCTTATTTGACTTGGCATAATGTCCTCAAGGTTTATCCATGTTGTAACATGTGACAGAATTTCCTGAATAATATTTAATTGTGTGTATATGCCACATTTTTGTTATCTACTTGTTCATCATTAGAACTTGGGTTGCATCTATCTTTTGGCTATTGTGAATAATGCACCTATGAACATGGGTGTACAAATATTTGTTTGAGCCTTTGCTCTCAATTTTTTGAGCATATACTCAGAAATGGAATTGTTGGATCATATGGTAATTTTTTGTTTGTTTGTTTATTAAAGGTATGTTTTTATTGATTTCAGAGAGAGGAGGGAGAGAGAGAGTGCGAGAAACATCAATGATGGGAGAGAACCATATATTAGCTGCCTCCTGCACCCCCCCTACTGGGGATTGAGCTCACAACCCCTCAGGTGCCCTGACTGGGAATTCAACTGTGACCTCCTGGTTAATGGGTCGACACTCAGCCACTGAGCTATACCAGCTGGTTATTTATCTATCTATTTATCTATCTAATCTAATCTATCTATCTATCTATCTATCTATCTATCTATCTATCTATCTATCCATCCATCCTCACCCAAGGATATGCTTATAGGGTTGAAGGGGGGAGGAGAGAGAGACAGACAGAGACATTGATGTGAGAGAGAAACATTGATCAGTTGCCTTCTGTATGCACCCAGGTGGGGATCAAGCCCAAAAACCTGGTATGTGCTCTGACTGGGAATCGAACTGGCAAACTTCAATGCACAGATGATGCTCCAACCAATTGAGCCACTCTGCTGGGCTCTATGTTTAATTTTTAAGCAACCATCTTACTGTTTTTCATAGTAGCTGCATTAGTTTACATTTCCATCAGCAGTGCACAGGAATTCCAATTTCTTCATATTCTCACCAACACTGGTTATTTTCTGTGTGCCCCCCCCCCTTATAATAGCCATTCTGATGGATGTGAAGTAATATATTATTGTGGTTTTGATTTGTGTTTCTCTAATGATTGTTGATATTGAGCATCTTTTCTTTATTGATCATCTCTATATCTTCTTTGGAGAAATGTCTGCAAGATCATTACTAGTTTTTTAACTGGATTATTTGGGGGGGCGTTGCTGTTGAATTATAGAGTTTTTTATATGTTCTGGGTATTAATTTATTATCAGGTAAATGACTTGTAAATGTTTTGTCTCATTCCATGGGTTGCCTTTCCACTCTGGTATACTTTTCTCTGGTGCACTTTTGTTGCTTGTGCATTTAATGTCAGATATAAGAAGTTATTGGCCAATCCAAGGTCATAAAGCTTTGCTCCTTCTGGAAGTTTCATAGTTTTTAGCTCTTATGATTAGGTAGGTCTTTGATCCATTTTGAGTTTGTTTTTGCGTATGGTATATGGTAAGAGTACACCTTCATTCTTTTGCATCTGTTGTTTCTTTAAATCGAGAATGAAGCCAAAACCATCTGGCTATAAAAAATAAATTTTTATTTTTTTATTTAATACACAAATATCATTGCTTTGTTATGAGTGAAAACTGATTTTGGGGGAGAAGGCTTAGTAAGCAATATTGATAATTTGGGGTCTCTGAACTGAACCACAAGAAAACATTTATTTTACTCTTTCTCCTTAGAGCCAAGATTCTGGGTCTGATAACCGTATAAACACAGTCAGTCTCAAGGAAGCATTGGAAAGGTTTGATCACAGCCCAACCCCTTCTGCTTCCTCCCGTAGTTCAAGAAAATCATCTCACACTGCAGTCTCAGACCCATCCTGTGAGTACTCTAGCTTGAAAGCAGACTTCCTTTAAAGAGATTGTTTCTAAATTGTGTTACTAGTATCAGTATTGTTAATCAAATGGTACTTTAAAATAGTTTTTACATTTCAAAATATATTAAACTTTTCAGTGAGTAAGAGGCATATTGCTCACATTTAACAAAGAATTAAGTTTATGAAGTAACCTATAAAATATATGTGTAGTAATGTTGATGTTGTTGTTTTTAATTCCCTCAAAAAGAAAGCAAAACTGTTTATTCCTTTTATTTCTTTTACTTGTAAAGCCAGTAAGTATTCTTCAAATTTGCTTTTTGAAAGTTTTTAAAGAGTCTTTATGAAGACTTGCATAATTGTTATTAGTAACCTTTTTTTAAAAGAGTAATTTTTAATATCTCATGGTATTAAAACTATATATATAATAGTAAGGAGAAAAGAGGTTGTGGTGAACTACTCAACATTGTCGGTAGAACATCAGAGGTTAAACATAGGATTTCTGAAATCTTAGGGAAAAAATTTTCCCCTACTATAGCTGTTTCTTTTCAAAAAAATATTATTTTATTGTGGTAAGAACACTTAAAATGAGACCTACCCTGTTAAATGTTTAAGTGTACAGTGTTATTGTTGACTATAGGTACAGTGCTGTATTGTAAATCTCTAGAGCTTATTCATCATGCTTAACTGTAATTTTATGCTCAGTGATTAGTAACTCCCCACTTTCCCTCTGCCCAGCCCTTGGCAACCACCATTCTCTTTAATTCAACAAATTTGACTATTTTAGATATCTCAGATAATGGAGTCACGCACTCCTCATCTTTCTGTCATTGCTTATTTCGCTTAGCCTAATGTCCTCAAGGTTCATCCAGTTGTTGCATATTATATAATTTCCTTCTTTTTTAAGATTGAATAGTATTCCATTGTTTATAAACAGTGGTGGGCAAAAGTAGGTTTACAGTTGTGAGTATGTGAAACACAGGTTTATTTTTGTATTATTTATTAATTATTTTCCATATGAACAACTGTAAACCTACTTTTGCCCACTGCTGTATATACCACATTTTGTTTATCCATTCATCTGTAAATAGACATATAGCTTGTTTCAAATTCTTGGCTATTATGAATAATGTTGCAGTGAACATAGGAGTGCTAATATTTTTCAAGATCCTAATTTCAATTATTTTTTATAAATACTCAAAAATGGGATTGGTGGATCGTATATGGTAGTTCTGTTTTTAATTTTTTTGCGAAACCTCCACCCTGTTTTCCAATTGCTGTACTGTTTTGTATCCCTACTAACAGTGTGCAAGAATTCTAGTTACTTCACATTCTTGCAAACACTTGTCTTTTTTGTGTTTTGTTTTTTTAATTAATAGCCATCCTGACTGGTGTGAGGTAATATCTTATTATGGTTTTGATTTGCATTTCTCTCATGATTGTGATGTTGAGCATTTTTTCATATACTGGTTGGTCTTTTGTATGTCTTCTTTAGAGAAATGTCTATTCAATTTCTTAGGCCATTTTTCAGTTGAATTCATTTTTTTATTATTGAGTTATAGGAGTCATATCATTATTATATTTGAAGTTTTTCTATTTCAAACCTTTCTTTGTCCTTAAAAAAGGAGTAATTAAAAAGAATCATCTTATTGTTATAGATTTCACTTTTATTGAATAATTTAGAAAAGGAACTCAAAAACCTTATTTTTATTCACTGAAGTATGTTTTAAGATTCATTTTTGAAAACTGTATTTTATAAAGTACTAATTCTCTTCTGTTTTTGTTGACTAATCTCAGCAACACCAACAAAGATCCCAACGGATACTAGCACTCCTCCCAGACAGCATTTACCAGCTCATGAAAAGATGGCACAAAGGAGGTCATCATTTAGTATTCAGGTAACTCTTTTGTTAATATTCTTCTGAATAAAGATTTATTAAAGGGGGAAAACAATCATCCAAGTGTTTAGAAACTCATTGGTTCATTTTCCCATTCTATAAAGATTAAAATAGTTCATCTGAGTTTAAATACTAATGACTTCCAATTAAATCTAGTCAGCTTTTATTGAGAGCCCATGTAGGGTAATGTGGCAGATGCCTTGGAAGATAAAAACATGAGTAGGGAATAGGCATTTTCAATGTAGAGGGGAAGACATGCCTGTACTCAGCTAAAAAAGTGTGAGGCAAATTGTAATTCAGTTATAAAGATACCATGATGGTATTTCTGGTGGAAATATTCATGTATGGGAATGATCATCACTCCAGTGTTGTTTTCTATTTTGCTTCTAGTCGATAAATTCCCAGTCTATTGGTCAATCATTAACACAGCCAGTGATGTCTCAAGCCACAAATTTACCAGTTCCACAAGGCATGTCCCAGGTATTTTTGTTTGTTTGTTTCAGTTGAGTGTTTTGAAATAATAAATTGTTTTTAAGTTAGTACAGATTTTAAAAATATTCTTACAGATGCAGTAATCTCAACTGTGGGCATTTAGAATAATATCTGGGGATATTTTTGATTGTCGTTGTTTTAGGGGTACCACTGGCCCTTAGTTTAGTAAGCAAGGACCAGGGATGCTAATTATCTTTCAAGATTCATGACAGTTTTGTACAACAAAGAATTACCTGCTTAATATGCTATAACACCTCAATTGAGAAACACTGCAGGTAGAAATGTGATACAGATGAAATATAGCTGTTCATTTTGTTCTTCCTATGGATATTGGAAGAATCAAGTAATTTTCATGCATTCATTCATTTGTTCACAAATAGAACATTATTGAATTTCTTGTATGTATCAGATATTGCAGGTGGTGATAGTACAAAATATGTAATATCTATACTAAAATATATTTTTACAATGACGAGAACTGCAGTTCAATACATAGTCTATATAGCCCGATAGGTGTACACATTAGATGGATACAGTGCAGCCTGAGAAAGTGAAGGAAAACATTCTGGAAGAATTTTTGCTTGATCTGAGTCCTGAAGGAGGCCTAAATACAGAAGTTAACAAGACAAAGGAGAAGTATTACAAAAGTGACAAGAAATTGCTTTTTATTATAAATTCCCAGCGTGTAATTTATGATTCCGTACTCATTCAGTGCCTCAGACACATTAAAAAAATTACTGACTAGTAGTAAAAATAATTCAAAATTTTCTTACTGGTTTGTTTAGCATTAAATATACCTTGACTTAACAGTGTTTTAATTTCTAATAATGATAGATAAAAACAGTATTTTTTTTAAAAATACCTTTGCTTTATATGGCATTTATTTATTTATTAATACTGATATACATATATTGACAATGCATTAAATTTCCTAAACGTCATAATTTTTACTTTTAGCAATGTATGATCATGTAAGGTGTTTATAATAGCATTGTGTTATTAAATATTATATGCAGTTGTCACAGTTTTTAACATCATTGAGTCCTCAAATGCTTTTTATTCTGAAAGTTAACAATTTTTATGTAAAAATTTAGACATACTTCCAATATTAGTTCATTAATCTCAAGATACTAAATAAGCATTTAACATTTTAAAGGGATATGTTCATGAAGTAAAGAATATCTGCTGTGTCAAAAATGTTAATAAGTGTTCAAATCTCATATGTTTTGTTCATAAAGATACTTTGCCTCTTAGTTCTATGATTTTATTTATTTTCTTTGTTTCTATTTTCTTATTTCTACTTAATAGAAGTTCTGTAAGTGGTGCAATGTAATTATCCAAAGGTATAAATAAATTTACTTAGGATAAAATATATTTGTATATAACATTTTGAATAATATTTAAAAAAATAAAGGAATGAGAGAGTTGAGGTACTACATTTGTAGTATTTTCTAACACCATATGTAATCTAATATATGGTCTGGTTATTATCAACTTCAGAAGTTAAGGGTTTGTATACTTTGAAAGTAATATTCTGTATCCTCAATGCAAACTTTTGAAGTTGACTAAAAGCTTTTGGGGGGCATTTCTCACTTTTAGATGCAGTTCACTCTTGGAAGACTATTTTAAGACTCAGACAGATTTCCAATAAAATAAAATTCTTCCTGCTCTTATACTGTATCCTGTGCTGAATATTCATGGAAAAAATTAAATGAGTGTAATTAAAATAATTAAGTGTAGACTTAAGTAGTGAATCCCCAAATATGGCTCAATTTCAAGCAGTGGTAAATAAAAACTGCTTATCACTCAGGTAAACCATAGAGAAATAAGTAAGACTGAAAGCCCTGTTAATAGAATAACTTTTTTTCATTCATGTATGTATTCATTAATTCATAATTGCTTAGTCTTTAAAAGCTTATGTTTTGTACTTAACCCAAGAACAGTTTCAGTTGAAAATATGAGAAAAATATTATGGTTGGTTATCTGTCAGATTTCTGTAAGTTCCTAATGATGTGCACAAAGAGGATATTCTGGGGATGTCAGAATTTGATATGAATAACTCTACGTGCAGGCTACTTTTTCCATTGTTAAAGGGTAGAAATCAAATTAAGTAATTTGTTCTAAAGTGATGGATCTACAATATGATCTCAGGTTTTTTAACATCACTGTGTACTTTTAATCAGTCAAGATGCATTCAGGAGTCAAAAATATGAACAGGGGTATTATAAAACGATAGAGGCCCAGTGCACGGATTTGGCATAGCCTGCGGGGATGAGGCAGAAACTGGCAGTCCAAAGCTGCCTGCTTCTCCTGCCTGCCACTCCTGCTCATCCCTGCCCCACTGTGCCTGCCGCCACCGCCGCTCGGTAGACTCGCTGCCACTCTGCTGCGGTGGCCAGCCATGAGCCCTTGTCTGGCGCCCATCTGTCAGCTGAGCGGCACTCCCACTGTGGGAGCACACTGACCACCAAGGGGCAGCTCATGTTTTGAGCGTCTGCCCCCTGGTAGTCAGTGCGCATCATAGTGACCAGTCATTTGGTTGCTTAGGCTTTTATATATATAGGTTGTTAACTAGTAACAGGGATTAACTACTAAATTCTTAAGACTACAGAGATAACAGATATAGAGAGCAACTCTAACCATAGTGAAAGGGAGAGTACCCAAGGAAGGAACAACTTGGAAGACTTCCTCAACCCCTCCCCTAAACTTCTCTTCTAGGCCAGGCTGAGACTCAGATCCCACTGGGGGAGGTGTGGCTGTAGCCAGTGGATGGTAGAGAAGTTCACTGAGGTGTCACAGACTAGGGCTAGAGAAAAGGAAGCCACCTGCTGGGGTACCAATAAAATTTGCTGGGAAGCTAACCACTTGGATCCTAGTGAGACTTGCTAGAGAACCACCTGCTAGGGTGGATAAGACCTAGTAGGAAGCTATCCACTGGCAGAAGAGCAAGAAGGAAGAACACCAGAACCAGAAAGATAAGCACCTCCCTTTGCAGTATCCTCCAGCACCATAAACTGGTGTCACTCAGTTTGTGCCTGCTGGCAAAGGAGAACTATTTGTAGAGTCCAGCTCCAGTATGACAAAGGCAAGCAAAGATGGGTAAATTAGCTGATAGGCATCCATTGATAACTGGCAAGACATTCTTAGCTCATGATATACTGCTTGCTTTTCTCATTGCACAATTATGAGAAATAAGTAATTCTAAAATCCTTTACACTTTTTTCATTCATGATACTTCAGTTTCAGTTTTCAGCACAATTAGGAGCCATGCAGCATCTGAAAGACCAATTGGAACAACGGACACGAATGATAGAGGCGAATATTCATCGGCAACAAGAAGAACTAAGAAAAATTCAAGAACAACTTCAAATGGTCCATGGTCAAGGGCTACAGGTAAGATATTACTATATTTGATTTTAACAAAGCATGCCAATCACATTTTAATTTTTTAGGGAAATAGACTATTTTTAATTAAAAATGACATGCAAGAGAAGCTCCTGGTCAAGATGGCAGAATAGGTAAATGCTGTATTCGCCTCCTCCCATGACCACATCAAAATTACAACTAAATTCCAGAACAGCCATCATTGAAAACTACCTGAAGTCTAGCTGAACCGAAGTCCTATAACTAAGAATATACAGAAGAAGCCATGTTGAAATTGGTAGGAGGGGCAGATATGCGAAAGGGGCTAGTCCTACATCCATGTTTGGTGGTTGAGAATGTGCAGGGATATCTCAGATGCCCCTGAGGAGCAAGGGGTCCCAGCCTCATGCCAGGCTCCCCCAACCCAGGGTTTCACCGTTAGGAAGAGAAGTCCCCATAACTTCTGACTGTGAAAACCAGAACAAATTGTGGGTGAGTAAGAGAGAGAGCTGCTGGAGTCCCAGTCCTCCCTTTTACAGTGTCTGCACATAGGGTGTTATTCCCTCTGAACTTCAGCACTGAGGCAGCAGCTCAAAAAATGCCAGGGACATACAGGGAGGAACTGAAATGTCTGGCTTTAGGTTAGGGTGAGGACCGGAGGGGCAGCTTTCTCCCAGACAGAAGGGCTGGCAGAAGCCATTGTTTGCTAAGCTCTCCCCCTGCAGGTGCAGGCATGCACCATATCTTGAGCCTCCATCAATCTGGCTATCACTGTTCCCCCTGCCCTGGTGATTCCCTGAAACCCCTTCCACCCAAGCTTTTTCCAGTGGCTTTTCAATATAGACGGCCTGTCTTGGCTCATGCTGCGGACTTTCCTAAAATCTCTCAAAGGTTCACAACCCCAAACAAGCAGCATCTGGTCTCAGCATGCCCCATACTTCTTCCTAAGTAGCCACAAGCCCAGCACTAGTGGAAGCTGGCCTCAGTTAGCAGCTTAGCCTCTCGAGCCAAGCACTTCCAAACCCAGCACAAGTGGTAGTCATCTGCAGATCACTTTGTAGCTGATACCAAGTGGCCCTGGGCAGGAGATAGACAGCAGCTAACCTTGGCCTGCACCTACAAAGAGGCCCCAGAACCAACATACCTGGTGACCACTTCAGTCTACACCAGAGCACCACCCAACCACCTCCACAAATAAGTCAAAGGGCAGACTCACCAGGTACCAGAGCCCTCCTAAAGCGGGTCCTGCACCATAGGGTCAGCTCCTGCATAACAGCTCCTCCACTGTAGTCATGGCCAGTCCTCACAGTCTATTAGCTTGAGGGTTAGTCCTGTCCACCAGCAATCAAGGCTCAACTATAACAGAAGGGCACACACAACCCACACATCTGGAGCACTTAGCTCAGATGATCAGGGAGAGTGCACCATTGGGCCCCACAAACACCTACTACATAAGGCCCCTCTACCAAGACCAGGATATGTAGCAGCTCTACCTGATACCTAGAAGCAAACACAAGGAGGCAGCAGAAATGAGGAGACAAAAGAAATGACTCAAATGAAAGAACAGAACAAAGTTCCAGGAAAAGAACTAAACAAAATGGAGACAAGCAGTCTACTAGGTGCAGAGTTTGAAACACTGGTTATAAAAATGCTCAAAGATCACAGAGAGAACTTCGACATAGAGACAGGAAATATAAAAATGGAGACAGAGCCCTGGATTGGTGGCTCAGTTGGTTGGAGTGTCGTCCCGTATACCAAAAGGTTGCCAGTTTGATTCTTGATCAGGGCACTTACCTAGGTTGGAATTCGAAGGGTCGTGTATGGGAGGCAACCGATCGATGCTTCTCTCTTACATCAATATTTCTCTCTCTCTGAAATTAATAAACATATCCTCCAGTGAGGGTTTTTTAAAAAAATGGAGATAGAAAACAAGACTGAAATGAAGAATACATTAGAGAGAATCAACAGATTACTAGTATATGAAGCAAAGGATCGAAAATGGAGATAGAAAACAAGACTGAAATGAAGAATACGTTAGAATCAACAGATTACTAGTATATGAAGCAAAGGATCCAGTCTGATTTGAAAGATAAGGTAGCAGAAGACATGCAACAGAACAACAAAAAGAAAAAAGAATCCAAAAATATGAGGATAGTTTACGGGGCTTCTGGGACAACATCAAGTGTCCCTAACATTTGCATCATAGGTGTATCTGAAGGAGAAGAAAGAGAGGAATTGAAAATTAATGAAGAAAATTTCCCTAACATGATGAAGGAAATAGACATACAAGTCCAGGAAGTGCAGAGAGTTCAAAAAGATGAACTCAAAGATTCCTACACCAAGACATATCATAATTAAAATCCCAAAGGTTAAAGCTGAAGAGAGAATCTTAAAAGTAGCAAGAGATAAGCATTTATCTAGAAGGGAGCTCCCATAAGATTATCAAATAATTTCTTAACAGAATCTTTGCAAGTGAGAAGGGGTTGGCACAAAATATGCAAAGTGATGAAAAAAACAAGGACCTACAACCACAATTACTCTACCCAGCAAATTTATCATTTAGAATTAAAGCATAAAGAGCTTCTAAGACAAGAGAAAACTAAAGGAGTCTATGTTAAAACATAAAACCAGTACTACACATACACCATGACCAAGTGGGATTTTTACCGGGGAAGCAAGACTGGTAAAATATCCACAAATCAATAAACGTGATACATCATATAAACAAATTGAGAGACAAAAACCACATAATCATATCAATGGATGCAGAAAAAGCATTCGACAAAATCCAACACCCTTTCTTGATAAATAACTCTCAGCAAAGTGGGAACAGAGGGATCACACCTCAACATAATAAAAGCCTTATATGACAAACCCACAGCCAACATCATACTCGATGGGCAAAAACTAAAACCATTTCACCTAAGAACAGGAACAAGACAGGGATTTCCATTTTCACCACTCCTGTTCGACATAGCACTGGAAGTGCTAGCCATAGCGATCAGACAAGAAGAAGAAATAAAAGGCATCCAAATTGGAAAAGAAGTAAAACTGTCATTCACAGATGACATATTGTACATAGAAAACCCTAAAGACACGATCAAAAAATTATTAGACTTAATAAATGAATTTGGCAATGTAGCAGGATACAAAATTATCATCCAGAAATCTATGGCATTTTTATACACCAATAATGAACTCACAGAAATAAATTTTTTAAAAAATCTCATTTACCATTGCATCAAAAAAATTAAGATACCTAAGAATAAACTTAACTAAGGAGGTAAAAGTCCTGTACTTGGAAAACGACAGGACGTTGAAAAAAGAGATAGAGGAAAATATAAACAAGTGGAAGAATATACCGTGTTCATTGATTGGTAGAATCAACATCATTAAAATGTCCATACTACCCAAAGCAATCTATAGCTTCAATGCAATCCCCATTAAAATACCAATGGCATTCCAGCAGATGATATTTCACACTTTTGCTGAAATGTTTAAGACTGACAAAAATAATAAGCAAAACTGTTGGTTGATACCTAGTTTGTTTTATTTATCTTATTTCCTCCACCTGTTTTCATGAGTAAATGTTCATCTGAACATCATCTCTGGTTCTGTATTTTGGTTGTGACTGGTTTAAATATCACAATGCCCACCCATTAGCATCCTCTCTTTATATGTTAATGATGGAGGTATACTTTCTTCAGCCATTCCAGGACTCATGAGAACTTGTCCTCTCCTCAGAATCTTTAGAGAAGAACAGATAAGCATATGAGTTAGGAGGAAGAAACCTGTTTTTGTGTTGTGGCTGTTGTAAAAAATGGCCATTCTATATAATAAAAGCCTAATATCCTAAACATACCAACGACATATTTCACAAAACTAGAACAAACTCTCCAAAAATTTATATGGAATTAAAAAAAAAAAAAAGACCCTCAATAGCCACAGCAATCCTGAGAAAAAAAGAACAAAGTTGGTGTGATCACATTACAGATATCAAGTTATATTACAAAGCCACTGTTCTCAAAACTGCATAGTACTGGCACAAGAACAGACATATAGACCAGTAGAGCAGAACAGAGAACCCAGAAATCGACCCAAACCATTATGCTCAATTAATATTTGACAAGCCCTAGCCGGTTTGGCTCAGTGGATAGAGTGTCAGCTTGTGGACTGAAGGGTCCTGGGTTCGATTCCAGGTCAGGGAACATGCCTGTGTTGCAGGCTTGATCCCCAGTAGGGAATGTGCAGGAGGCAGCTGATCAATGATTCTTTCTCATCATTGATGTTTCTCTCTCTCCCTCTCCCTCCCTCTCTGAAATCCATAAAAATATATTTTTAATTATACATATATATATATATAATTTGACAAAGAGGCACGAGCATACAATGGAGTCAAGACAGTCTCTTCAATGTTGGGAAAATTGGACAGATACATGCAAACAAATGAAACTAGACCCCATACTTACACCATACACAAAAACAAACTCAAAATGGATGAAGGACTTAAACATAAGATGGGAAACCATAAAAATCTACCACAAAAATCTTAGAATACATAGACAGCAAAATATCAGATTTAGCTCGTAGCAGTATGTTCACTGACACATCTCCTACAACAATAGAAACAAAGGAGAAAATAAACAAATGAAACTACATCAAAATAAAAGCTTCTGCACAGCAAAAGAACACATCAACAAAACAACAAGAAAGCCCACTGCATGGGAGAACATATTTGCAAATGTTATCACCGATAAGGGTTTAATCTCCAAAGTCTATAGGGAACTCATACAACTTAACAAAAGGAAGACAAATAATCCAATCAAAAATGGGTAAAGGACCTATATAGACACTTTTCGAAAGTGGACATACAGAAGGCCAAGAGACATATGAAGAAATGTTCAAAGTCACAAATCAGCCGAGAGATGCAAATCAAAACAATGATGAGATACCATCTCACACCTGTCAGGATGGCTATCATTAACAAATCAACAAATGACAAGTGCTGGCGAGGATGTGGAGAAAAAGGA